GTATAATGAAACAAATGCTCTAACAGGATCTCAGCGATGTGTTACTTGCGGACCTGTTTCTGTGCTGTGCCTCACCGCTGACCGTATCCTCACGAGAAGCAGCTACCGCAACTCCTGCAACTTCCTCCAAATAATATGCTCGTGAGTCCGAGGCACCTAGTTTACCCCCCCCCCCCCCCATCCGCGCCGCGCGTAGCGGCGCGGGGGTTACCTTTGGCGGTGAGTTTAATCGCGTTTTGCGCATGCCGAAAAGTTTGAGGATACAGGTCGGCAGGCTGACATCTACCGCTGCTAAGTCCTCAATCGGACGAACAGTATTGCTAATCTGCGCCGGAGCGCGTGGTCTACCCGCCATATCGCTTTCATCGTCTATAATGTCTCGAAAATTGTCAAAAGTCGCTATTATCGTCTGCTAGTATTCGTCTGCAGAAACGCTCGAAATTGTCAACGGGCGCTTTTATCGTCTGCTACTATCGTCTGCGATGTTGCGTCTCTTGAAATTGTCAAGTAATCCTAGTTTTGCTGCGATTTGTTCCTTGGCAGAAAGTCCGCATTTTACATATGCCTGAGCCCCGTAATGATATTTTATGGCCGCCATAATATTAGGACGAAGTTCGGAGGAGAAGCGAAAATCGATAAGAAACTCCCAAGGTCATCGAAATAACATGAAATTAAAGTTTTTATATTAACTGGATATTATATAAAAGGGAGCTATGATAACGTAGTGACCAGACATTCATAGGATTTCATACATGATTCCCTTGTTGCTGGTCTGCTGTTTTCCACCCCTGGTATCACTTATCATTTTACACTCCTTCATTTCCCTTTCTACTGTCGTTTTCCAACTTTCCTTAGATCCCCCATGTCTCCTTTTTTTATCTGCCATCCATGAAGAGCTGTCCTTGCCAAAGTGTCACACCTAACAAGTGAACTATTTACTTTACTTACATTGTCTCCTTCAAGTGAACTAACAACTGCATTTCTAAAACTCCTTCTAATGAAATGACAATTGAACCGCTAGTGTTTCCCCGAAAAGACATATCCCAGAAATAGGCCCTAGAATCATTTTCAGGGTGCTTTTAATATAAGACCCACCTATAAAAAATAAACCCTAGTTACGATACTCGCATTCTATATAGACAAGAGATGCTCATGGTTCCACTAGAAATAGAGTTAAAAGAAATTCAGACTGGAATCGGAATTTGGAAAGTTATATCCTATGAAGATTTTCCAGGAGAAAAAGAAGACAGATTCTTTTGAATAAATGTATTTTGTACATAAATATGTGTACATTTTTGTATCCTGAAAAAAAAAGACATTCCCTAAAGAAAAGCACTAGTATATTCTTTAGGAAAATATAATATACTAGTATGTCAAGTGAACCAGCAACTAGAAAACTATGTCCCCTACAAGTGAACTAACAGATAGACTAAAATGTTCCCTACAAGTGAACTGACAGATAGACTAAAATGTTCCTCACAAGTAAACTAACAGATAGACTAAAATGTTCCTCACAAGTGAACTAACAGAAAGACTAAAATGTTCCTCACATGTGAACTAACAGATAGACTAAAATGTTCCCTACAAGTGAACTAACAGATAGACTAAAATGTTCCCTACAAGTGAACTAACAGATAGACTAAAATGTTCCTCACAAGTGAACTAACAGTTAGACTAAAATGTTCCCTACAAGTGAACTAACAGATAGACTAAAATGTTCCTCACAAGTGAACTAACAGATAGACTAAAATGTTCCCTACAAGTGAACTAACAGATAGACTAAAATGTTCCTCACAAGTGAACCAACAGATAGACTAAAACGTTCCCTACAAGTGAACTAACAGATAGACTAAAATGTTCCCTACAAGTGAACTAACAGATAGACTAAAATGTTCCTCACAAGTGAACTAATATCTACACTTCTGTAGCTCTTTTTAATGAACTGACAATTAAACTACTGTGTTTCCTCAGACAGAACTAACAACTAGACAAACATGTCCCCTAAAAGTGATCTAACAGCTAGACTACTATGTTTCGTTTAAGTGAACTAATCGTTTAACTGCTGTGTCTTCTTAAAGTAACCAAACCAAAAAAAAAAAAAAAAAACTATTACGTCTCCATAAATTGAACTAATCACTAAACTACATTCTCTCTTTAAGTGAACTAATCGTCAAATTTCTATGTCTCCTTAAAGATAACTAATAGCTAAACAACAATATCTCTGTAAAATGAACTAATCACTAAACTACTGAGTCTCCTTAAAGTTAAATAATCACTAAACTACCATGTCTCTTTAAGTCGCTAAACTGTTTCATCTCTTTAAAGTAAATATGTGTGGGAATATCTCGAGCTCAGTTATGTCAATTCTTGATTCATTCATTCATTCATTCATTCATTCATTCATTCATTCATTCATTCATTCATTCAAAGTGAACAAATCGCTAAACTTCTATATCTCTTTAAAATAAACTAATTGCTAAAATACTATTTGTCCCTCTAGTGTGCACAGGTCATCCTGACAGTCCCCCTAACAGTGCAAGCCCAGATCACCTACAACCCACCCTTGCCACTTTCCCGATCACAACTTCTACAGCGAGTTCCCATGGGGTGCGTCATGAAAGCTTTCGTGTACTACGACAAACCATTTTGGAGAGAGTCAGGTTAGTAGTTTTGTCACATGATTTCGGTGTATCTTTAATTTGTGCATGCCAGTGGTTTGGTTCAGACATTGGAGGGAACTAAGCAAGATCCAGTGGACCAAGAGATGAGGAAAAGACGCTGGCGTTGGAGAGGACACATACTGAGAAAACCAGAGAACAAAATAACTATAATGTCTTTGCATTGGAACCCACAGGGGTATAGGAATAATAAAGGAAGGCCCAAAAACACACGGAGAACAGAGCTGGAGAATAAAGTTAGGAAGATGGGGAGGACATGGGGAGAGCTCCATGTAACAGTGAGGGATAGAATGACTTGGTGTGAGTTGGTTGATGGTCTATGCTGCATTGGGGGATAGAAAAGCAAAAGAAGAAGAAGACTGTGAAAGTGCTTCACATTTCCGAGGTTTCCTGCTCGATTCCAGCTGTGGATGATTTTGCAGCAGGCCGCTTTGGGTAATTCTGATAGCGGATTTAAGTGCTGTCCATTCAATGAGCTATAGTTAACTACATTGCTTAGTAAAACCAGAGTTGAAAAAAAATGTTGGGTTTAGTTTTGCAACGTCGCGTAAAGAAAATGGAACTAACTTTTTTAAAACACACAGAACAGCTAGAAGAAGGTAGATGAGAATAAAGAGGAAATGGAAGAGACAATAATAAAAACTCCACAAGGGAGCATGTACAGCAGGTGTCTCACCAATCATCAGTAGAAGATCCCTCGTCAACAATTGTTGCAGCCCATTACCTCCTAGACAACTCCAGAGGGTGGGTCGACCTGGGTCATGACTCCCAGTCCTTGATCTTCGTTTGCTGCACTTTACCTGATATTCTCGGACAAGGGACATATTAGAAGGTTGATTTGTCCAGAACTTTTTCAGACTTTGGTGATGACCACATGGCAGAAATAATCATCAGCCACAGAGACATCTGCAGTTTTTATCATTATTTTGTGTAGTTTTAGTCGCCGTGGCAGAGCGGCTAGACGCGCGCAGCGGATCGGAAGGTCGTGGGTTCACTCCCTGGCAGAGACGGACTTCTCTTCAAAAATGACCTTGGCTCCCAGGTCGACCCAGCCTTGAGTGGGTACCGGGTGCAATCCCGGGAAGTAGAGGCGGCCGGCGTGATGCTGACCACATCACCCATCGTGTGCCGTTGGTCTATAAAAATATAGGTCTAGCCCTATATGCCCTATACGCCTATAGGCGTGGAAAGGGTCCTTTACTTTACTTTACTTTTTATGTGTAGTTTTAGTGTATGTAGCGCACCTTCTGGTTTGTAGTGATCAGAACCGTCTTTACGCAGGAGCCCCATTTGGCACTTGCCCTGGGGCCCTACGAACATATCGGTCCCATGCCGATCTGGGTATCTCAAGTGACTTGCCATATAAGAAGTTTGTAATAATTTCAAATGGTGCCATCTAATCTGTGTTTATCTTTTAACACCAGTTTTGTTAAAGTGCCGGTAATATAAATATGTGTTTGTATTATTGGCCCTTTACATAGAATTCCTGTGAATGTTTGTCATAAGGGCCCCAGTACACTAGTTTGTTCAGGGGGCCATAAAGTTGTTAAGATTGCGCTGACAGTAATTGCTGCTTTAATCGACTATGAGTAACATTTTAGTTATAGGCTGTCAGATTGGCTCTCTGGCATCTGCCTTATGCATTTGACTACACTTTATGTAATTTCTTGTTTTCTTTTGTCCAAGTTACCTAATTGTGTTGTGCCAGCTTACAGCTTTGCTGCAATAATTTTGACCGGGACATTCGCCCTTATCCGGCATTTGTTCACCAGATTAGCCTTCCCAGTTTGATAGAATTGTATCTTCTTCTTCCTCTTCTTCTTCTTCTTCTTCGTCTTTTTCTTCTTCTTCTTCTTCTTCTTCTTCTTCTTCTTCTTCTTCTTCTTCTTCTTCTTCTTCTTCTTCTTTTTCTTCTTCTTCTTCTTCTTCTTCTTCTTCTTCTTCTTCTTCTTCTTCTTCTTCTTCTTCTTCTTCTTCTTCTTCTTCTTCTTCTTCTTCTTCTTCTTCTTCTTCTTCTTCTTCTTCTTCTTCTTCTTCTTCTTCTTCTTCTTCTTCTTCTTCTTCTTCTTCTTCTTCTTCTTCTTCTTCTTCTTCTTCTTCAGTATTCCGAGCCCTTGAGGTTCATTGCTGCAGATATCACCCGCTTCCATTCATCTCTCTTATTGGCCTTCTCTTTCCAGTTGATAACACCAAGTGTGTGCAGGTCTGTCTGGAATAGAATTGTAGTCTTCATAATTATAGTTTCTCACAAATCGAGAACATGACGTACGAGTATGACTGTGTTGCATGTGTTTCCTATGACAGGTTTCTGTGGGTCCTCATACATCTATGACAAAGACAGTTTGGTTTGCTACACATTGGACAACACTCCTCCAGATGGCTCCAGCTATAATCTTGTAGCGTAAGTGCATTCTAATCTACATTTGACTAACTGGTACCTTGATGTAAACCCTTGTCTTGAATTATTCTGTCCCCAGCAGCTCACGATTTCTAACTACATATTTTCCGTGTATACCAGTCTGTGAGTTTTGTGTCTTCACATCTTAAAGATGGTTAGACTTTAAAGAATTCTTGACATTATCTTTATCCAAGGACTGGAGAAACCAGTAGCTATGCATATTCCACTCTGTATGGCAGTGCAAAATACTAAAAATCAATAGCCATACAAAACACACACACACACAATTTACTTGACTGGTAAAAAAAATCAGCTCTTATCTATCATGTGCTACCTTTGATTGACTGACTGACTTTCTACCCCACCAGGACATCACACAAGCGATAAACACCCGATGACACAAAGTGCCACCATGTGGATGAGGATCACAGTGGAGAGGTCCCAGAAACCGTGTTCAGCCATTAGACCATATTTTCGGTCGGGCTATATTGCGGCCCCTGGCAAGAGCCAGAGTTGGCCTTCAAATAATAAAAAATTGCATCTCACAAGGAGATGACTGATATAAAAATGGTGCTACCTTTTAAAATCTAGTAGTAATATACTGAATACCTCAACCAATCACAGAATGCTAGGCTATGTGGAAGCCTCAACATTAATCTGGCACTGTCCAAATTTATGCGCACAAATGAACCTGTATTTGGCCAGGTAAAAACAGGCAGTTACTTCTTATTGTAGTCGATTTTAAATGATTTTGTGTTTCAGATAGAAGGATTCACTTATTTTCTTTTTTTAATTCATTCTTACTGTAGTAATGCCAGGCACTAAATTTTGCAATATATTTTTTTGTATCTTCTTTCCTTCATAGTCATTTATTTCCCACTTATGTTTGTGTGTTTGCTATTATCTGTGCGGTTCTGCCTAAGACGTATAATTTATAACCTTCTTCTTTTTCTTCTTCTTCCTCTTCCTCTTTCTCTTCTTCTTCTTCTTCTTCTTCTTCTTCTTCTTCTTCTTCTTCTTCTTCTTCTTCTTCTTCTTCTTCTTCTTCTTCTTCTTCTTCTTCTTCTTCTTCTTCTTCTTCTTCGAAGGAAGTACCCAATTAGTCGACTCTTACGACATGCTTTTGGGTAGGCCCCAGAACTTACACAGAGTAATTTTTAATTGTTCTAATTAGTTTACGACCTTCATCTCTAATGAGGACTGATCGCCGTGTTTTTTTTTTTTTTTTTTTTTTTTTTTTTTTTTTTAATTATATTCTTTGCACTCTTCTCAAAAACCACTTTGAAAATGTTTTAATTATGATTATTACTCCTAGAATCACGAAGAAGGTAGTTTGCCATTGCTTTCCTTCTTGAAGACCAAAATGGTCAGGTGACTGTAGCCTTTGTCACTATAGTGTTTTCCTCTGCCTACCGTCGGGGAACTCTTTCCATGACCAACAACTATCTGACAGCAGTCTCAATATCAGTCCACAACTTGCCCTCGTGGTTTCTCATTGCCTTGCCAGAGAAGCTACAACAGGGACTCCAGCTTACAAAAGGGTGTCTCATAGGCTAGAAGAGAGAAAAGGTGAAAGTATGCGAAGCAATAGGGCCTACAGTAGAACTGACTATAAATAACATTTGACAATTTTTAGCTTATAGTGGGCGGATATTTTAAATTGTCACATTGGATGTTGTACAGTTATATCAAAAGATGTTGTATCATTTTGTCCATTGAGACAAGGTATAATTGTAAAGATTATTTTAATCATTGAATTCATCTGGATTGATCTGAGCAACGATTCACATCACAACATTCAGGACAAACCCATATTAGCTTTGTCTCCCCCGTCAACAGCCAGCGAAGAGGCACCATATGGATGGTACTGTCATTTTTTGTAAACACTGATCTTGACTTCTCTCTGAGTTTCGAGTGCTATTTAATCAAATTTTTTTTTGAAAAAGGGGGGGGGGGTGGAGGAGGGAATGGAGCATATGAATCTTTGACCACATCTCTGACACATAATATTACTTGACTGGCATAAACAAGTGTATATACTGTTTTAAATAGATTCATCGCAGCTGAGAATGCACGCAAGGCTGCAGAAATGTCGGAAGCAGACCGGAAGTATCATGTGACACAAGTTCTGTCTAGAGTATTTCAGTCAAAAAAGGCGTTGAATGTAAGTATTTATTACAACAACAAAAACAACAACTGCTACTACTTCTACTTCTACTACTCCTATTCTTCCTCCTCCTACTACTACTACTACTAATAATAATAATAATAATAATAATAATAATAATAATAATAATAATACTTCTAATATTAATTTTGGCTTCACGACTTTCTATATTCGAATTAAAGCATATTCCATTCAGGGAGGAGTCGTAGCACAGTGGCTAGATGCTACCTGTCAACCTGAAGATTTTAAGTCTTGGACTGCACAAAAACTGATGTTGGCTCTCAGGTTAACTCAGTCTGAACTGGATAACAGGAAATGTCATGTAAAGAAAAAGCGCGAAAAAGCAGTCAGTGGGGTTACTGAACATATTCAAACAGGAAATGTTATGTAAAGAAAAAGCAGTCAGTGGGGTTATTGAACATATTCAAACAGGAAATGTCATGTAAAGAAAAAGCAGTCAGTGGGGTTATTGAACATATTCAAACAGAAAATGTCATTTAAAGAAAAAGCAGTCAGTGGGGTTATTGAACATATTCAAACAGGAAATGTCATGTAAAGAAAAAGCAGTCAGTGGGGTTATTGAACATATTCAAACAGAAAATGTCATTTAAAGAAAAAGCAGTCAGTGGGGTTATTGAACATATTCAAACAGGAAATGTCATGTAAAGAAAAAGCAGTCAGTGGGGTTATTGAACATATTCAAACAGAAAATGTCATTTAAAGAAAAAGCAGTCAGTGGGGTTATTGAACAAATTCAAACAGGAAATGTCATGTAAAGAAAAAGCAGTCAGTGGGGTTACTGAACATATTCAAACAGGAAATGTCATTTAAAGAAAAAGCAGTCAGTGGGGTTACTGAACATATTCAAACAGGAAATGTCATTTAAAGAAAAAGCAGTCAGTGGGGTTATTGAACATATTCAAACAGAAAATGCCATTTAAAGAAAAAGCAGTCAGTGGGGTTATTGAACATATTCAAACAGGAAATGTCATGTAAAAAAAAGCAGTCAGTGGGGGTTATTGAACATATTCAAACAGGAAATGTCATTTAAAGAAAAAGCAGTCAGTGGGGTTACTGAACATATTCAAACAGGAAATGTCATTTAAAGAAAAAGCAGTCAGTGGGGTTATTGAACATATTCAAACAGAAAATGTCATTTAAAGAAAAAGCAGTCAGTGGGGTTATTGAACATATTCAAACAGGAAATGTCATGTAAAAAAAAAAAAGCAGTCAGTGGGGTTATTGAACATATTCAAACAGAAAATGTCATGTAAAAAAAAAAAGCAGTCAATGGGGTTATTGAACATATTCAAACAGAAAATGTCATTTAAAGAAAAAGCAGTCAGTGGGGTTATTGAACATATTCAAACAGGAAATGTCATGTAAAAAAAAAAGCAGTCAGTGGGGTTATTGAACATATTCAAACAGAAAATGTCATTTTAAAAAAAAGCAGTCAGTGGGGTTATTGAACATATTCAAACAGAAAATGCCATTTAAAGAAAAAGCAGTCAGTGGGGTTATTGAACATATTCACTCACTGGGTGCCAGTTTATCTAGAAAAATATTAGTCTAACACTGCATGCGCCAATGGCATTAAAACAGTTTTTACTAACAGTACGTTGGTATCTGGGGCTTAGGCGTTGTGAACGTGCTTTGTTATGCCGGGGAGCCGGGTTCGATCCCAGCTGCGGTACTTGCGCCTTGCATTTGTTTTGACAGTGGTATCAAGAAGCCGACCGTACACGGGCAAACTACTAGATGTAAATTTGCCTAGAAAAACCACAACAGCTAAAAATGCTGGGGTTGGTTCTGAAACGTCCTGTAAAGGATACACAACTAACTAACAGTACAAATAGCCAGCGTTTTAGCACATCCTGTCATAACGTCTGTGTACTTAAAAAATGCCAATCTCTTGGTCTTCTGCTGCTTCTTCTTGTATCCCACTGCTTACGGCGTAAAGCATGACAGAGGGGAGTTAGATATAGTTCTCTGTCTTTCGCTAATTTCAGTTAATGTCATATTGTTTTTCTGTAGTGTCTTTGTTATTACCTCTTAGAGCTGTACAATTTCTTTTAGGAATAGTGCTAAACTTATTTTTGGAAAAGATAAAAACACACAAAAAAGTGCAAATTTTTGTTTAATGTATTTTGTTTTATCTAAAAAGTTTTAAAACTACTTTAAAATTATATATATTTGATCAGAACTGAAATTCTCTCACCATGACATCAGTGCTGTACCATTTTTGTTTTTGCGCAGTCTGTTGAAACAAAGTTGTTGTGGCGGCTTCCAGTTGGTGCAACTAATGTCCTGATGCAGTTACTTTGATCTCATCAGTTACTTTTATTATAATTCCAGTAACACTTTTAAAAAGGTTCAACACGCTGCCAAAATTTACAATACTGATACAAAATTTCTAAAATATACAAAAACATCAGGCGTGGTACCAAAAGTACAGTTTTTGTTTTGGCACTGGTAAAACAATCACGATTTGTACGGGGGAAAAAAACTGGCAACCCTGCTCTTTCTTCATCAGCCTGCTGTTTTCATATAGAAGACTTTATCTGCTGACTGATTTTGTTCCATCCTGAACAGATGACTATACCATTTAATTGCTTTATGTTCTAGAAATCATTTAACCTCTGGGTCTCAAGAAGTTAAATTTAGTGGAGTCAGTGGATTGAAGAGGTTAAAGAAACAGTTTGCATAAAATATAATAATTTAACAGATAAATGGGACAAGAGAAGATTAGAAATTCTGCCATCCTCCATTCTCCAGATGTGACCCAACTACCTGAGCCTTGAGAATGAGCATTGAGAACACTGCTCTTTCTACTACTTCAGTGTTAGTGATCTTGCTTTGCTGCCGATTGCTTAGTATATGATATGCAAAGTGAACAATAAACGTATGGTGATATTGCTGGTACTCTCAGAGTTAAACACTTTATTGTCATCAGAACCCAACCCTGAACCCAGAGGGACACAACTCTATTTTAAAAACTGTAGGGAAATGTGGACATGTTGAAAGCTTTTTGTTAGTACGATATATTTACATGGTGAAGTTGAATTTCTCATATTGTTCCTGACAGCCGATTCACTATGAAGAGAAAAACTGGAGCGGGGAACCTTTTTCTGGTGGCTGCTACTTTGTGTCTATGGCACCAGGTGTACTCTCTACAGTTGGAAAGTAAGTTTCTTTATCTCGTCATCAACTCCATCACCATCGCCCTCGTCCTCATCGTCATCATCTTCCCGTTCTGCCATTTATGTCACGAAGGCCTGACAGTCTAAACCTCTATGACATTCTGTCTTTTGCAGTCCTTTCGATATCATGGATAGAATATAGTTCAGCACCTTTGACTTCTCATATCAACGTTCCCTTTAGTGTTTCTCTGGGACGTCTGCATTTATTTAAATCTATTTGTACAGTACTTGCAAGCACACGTCATAAGCAAGAAACTTGGGGTGAGAGCTGGCTCAGTCAGCAAATGTGCATCCACTGGACAGCAGGTTACTTCTTAACTGTTTTGTGGTGTCCCAGTACAAGTGTGCCTGTAAAGCTTTTGTTTAAACAGGGTTTCCAGAATTTGTACCAGTTTGAATCTTATACTTGAGATGTTAATCCAACAGACTGCAATCATAGAGGGGAATGTAAAGCAAAACATACTTGGGTGATTCTCTGCTCGTTTGTTTTTTTCGCAGCATGTGCTTAAAACTCATAGTTGGAATGCATATGCTTTTAACTATGAGTGCAGAGAGACAGATTATTAACAGCATATTGATTCCAACATTGAGCTACCAGTGCCAAACATGGACACTATCTAAATCAGCCAACCTAACCATCCAAGATCAAGTAAATAATGAAACTATCAGGCAAATTCTGGAAACGACACCGTGTACTAGATTCATTGAGAAACAGCAGATCAAGTGGTTTGGCCATCTCGTTAGAATGCAGAAAGATCAAATACCACCACAAGCACTACTTCTCAGAAGATCAGCTAAAAGGGCAAGAGGACGGCCGCGGAAACAATGGATCGACAGCATCAAAGACACTCTACACCTTCACAACATGACAATAGCCAGTGGCAGCCAGCGTGTACTGGATCACAAATTATTCCTCCCCACGCCGTTTAAAGGCACAAGTGGTTTATGATGATGATGATGATGTCTTATACCGTTGATCTTCGCCTTTTTATTTGATTAAATCACGTTTGTTTCTTGTCTCTCATTTACCCATCTGCCTCCTCCTTCTTCGGTTGTCGTCTTCATCATTCTCTTTCATCTGACACATATTATTGCTTGGTTTCTTGGTTAGTTTCTTGGTTGGTTTTAGTTGGGTGGTTTGACTGGTTTGTTGAGTAGTTTGCTGTCTATGTGGGTGGTTGACTGGTTGCTTGAATGGTTGACTTGGTGATCAAATGGTTTGTTGGTTGGTAAACAAGGCATAGAGTGTGATAAGAGTGAGCATAGAGTGTGATAAATCTAAATAGAAAGAATGACAGATGTGAGTGTCGAGTGTGCTATTAGGTGAACTAGCTGCCGGTATATGGTAAACTAATTGTGAGTATATAGTTTTATCAGAGCTAGTATACAAATGCTTACTTTATGTTGATTCCATCTTCTGCTGTTTGTTAGGGCTATCAGGGAACCAGTTGGAAGAATTGTCTTTGCGGGAACCGAGACAGCCACAATATGGGTGGGGTACATGGAGGGTGCGATACAGTCGGGGACCCGGGCAGCCAGGGAGGTGTGTTTTCTTACTGAATCTTCTTGTGTTATCTTATTGAATATTGTTATCTTACTTAATATTCTTGTGTTATCTTATTGAATATTCTTGTGTTATTGTATTGAATGTTCTTGTGTTATCTTATTGAATATTCTTGTGTTATCTTATTGAATATTCTTGTGTTAACTTATTGAATATTGTTATCTTACTTAATATTCTTGTGTTATCTTATTGAATATTCTTGTGTTATCGTATTGAATATTCTTGTGTTATCTTATTGAATATTCTTGTGTTATCTTATTGAATATTCTTGTGTTATCTTATTGAATAATCTTGTGTTATCTTATTGAATATTCTTGTGTTATCTTATTGAATAATCTTGTGTTATCTTATTGAATATTGTTGTATTATCTTGCTGAATATTCTAGTGTTATCTTACTGAATAGTCTTATGTTATCTTCCTGAATATTCTTGTGTTATCTTATTGAATGTTCTTGTTTTATCTTTCTGAATATTCTTGTGTTATCTTACTAAATATTCTTGTTTTATCTTACTGAATATTCTTGTGTTATCTTACTGAATAGTCCTATGTTATATTACTGAATATTCTTGTGTTGTCTTACTGAATAGTCTTGTGTCATGTTACTAAATAGTGTTACCACACTATTTTACTGAAAATTGTTCTTGTATCAGCTTGATGAATGTTTTTCCTATATCTTCTTTTCTTTAGACAATTTTTTAGTTCTATCAGTTTACTGAACGTTTTTCTTGTGAAATCCTACTGAATGTTCTCTTTATAAATGTTGGTTTTGCGATATTTTTTATTGAATGCCTTTCTTGTTGTAACAGCTTTTTAACTGTTGGCCTTGCATCATGTTACTTTATCGTTCATTCTTTTTAGCGGAAATGTTTGCCTTAATGCGTCATAATCAGGCAGTCTTTGAATATGTGTCTGCTTAGCCAGTTGTGTTCTGTTCTGAGGCACAGAATAAAGACTTGTTCTTTTATGTCCAAAAAATGTAGTCGTCGTGTGCAGGGAATTGTGGTTTTGTGATTGATTTAAACATTTTTAAATTATTATTTTTTTTTTTTTTTTTGGGGGGGGGGGGGGGGGGGAGTGGTATGTGTTTGGTACATCTGGCAGCTTGCTCTTTTGTTGCATCTTTCCCTGCCAGTTGATCAGCCTTCTCATTTCCATGCACTCCCGAATGAGATGGTTTCCATTGTATTGTGACTACGCTAACAGCTTGAGTTTAGTCGGTGCTTTTCAGTTTACTACACCTCATTCCTGTTTTAGCTTTTTAAATGTTGGTCTCGAAAATTCCACTGTATGCCAGTCTTGTATTAACTTTCAAAATGCTGATCTCGTATAATTCCACTAAATGTCAGTCTGGAATTAGCGTTCAAAATGCTGGTCTCGTAAAATTCCACTGTATGTCAGTCTTGTATTAGCTTTCAAAATGCTGATCTTGTATAATTTTCTGAAGGTCATTCTTGTATCAGCTTTTTGATGGCGGTCGTACATTTAATCAGTGTCATTTTTATATTAGCTTTTTAAATATTGGTCTTATATAATAAAAAAAATAGACAAAAGAGACAGTGCATGACAGAGAATAGTGTATGTACAAGCAAACGACCCTTTTCCACACCATCAGTCCTACTGGGGATACAGTGCTAGGCACCATATTTTATAGATGAATTAGCATCCGGTGGATGATGGGGCTAAAATCATGCCAGCTGTCTTTACTTTCCAGGACTTTACCTGGTACCACTTTTAGGCTGGGTAAATTGGGAGCCATGTTATTGTTTTAAAAAATCAGGTTCGATACAGATTTGAACCTTTAAGCATCTAGTCTCTACAGCATGGCAGCTCCCAATGGTGTATGTGGACAGCTGAAATAGCTTCATAACTAAAAAATATAAGCAACATCAACTATATTGTTTTTAAATCAGATCTGAATTGTAAGTCATGTTTTCTACTGTTAAAAACACTGTCTGACTTCATGTTTTAATGTCTGTCTTAGGTGTTGTTTTCAAGAGGCCTTATCACCAAGCAAGAACTACAGGAAGATCCTGATGATAAACAAGACCAGGTATTTCTTGTGTACTTCATTCTGCTGCTATTTTCTTTGTCAAATTTACAACAAACGAAGGGTCGAGGATAGCATACTTGCTTATTATCACAATGGTCTGGATTCATATCTCTATAATGGTAAAATTTATTGCCAGATCCAGTAAGGCTCTTGAATTAACTGAGATTCATTCTTCTTCCTCCTCCTTCTTTTTCACAGGCTGCAAACTCCAGCAGAAAGTTCTGGTCGTTCGTCTATTTCTGGACTTTATAGTCTTGTTCCGGAACTTGAAAGTTGCTTGCACATCTGTTTTACAGATCTGGTTTATTTGTATGCAGACTTGCCACCCATGCAGACGCACTCCCACTTTGAAAGAAGCTTCTAATTATCCACCCCAATGACATGCTTGTCGGAGGGGATGGGACTATTCTTCTTTCCCTCACAGTTGGGCGCTGGAACCCACAAGGGAATGCATAACATAACCGGGGCAAGAAGATAAGGACGTTGTTGAAGGTTCACTCCAGCCTAATTTTACTGTAGAAACAATAGGTAACCGCATTTTAATCAGCAGGAATGCTGCGCAGTAGAAAGGCTTCGTGAGCTAGATATAGTCAATACTTCAACCCAGTGCAAAGGGGAAAACACACAGAGATAAAAGACACATATATACACACTCTCTCTCTCCCTTTCTCTCTCTCTCTCTCTCTCTCACACACACATACACATACGCATATATATATATATGTAAATATGTGTGTGTGTGTGTGTATATATATATATATATATATATATATATATATATATATATATATATATATATATATATATATATATATATATATACATAAGTAGAGGCTAGATGTTCTGCCACAGGCGCCAAGCGTCATAGGTTGAAATCTGCATCGTGTCATTTTGTTTTTAAAATGACATTAACTCCAAGGTTGACCAAGCCTACAATTTAAAAAAAAAACTTCAGCCTACAGTTGCTGCCAGGTCAAAACCAGTGGGGTAAAGGCAGCCAGCATGGTGTTTACCACATCACACACTGAGGGCTGATTGGTCCATAAATGTGTTAGTCTAGCATCAAATTACCTATGTCCTTTACTTACTTACTATATATGTTTGTGTGTGTGTGTGCATGCATGCGTGTACACTGATTTTATATATGTGTAAAAATGCATGCGTGTGTGTATATATATATATATATTTATGTGTATGCTTGCATGCTTGTAAAAAAATGCACTCGTGAACTGAAAGAGGCAGCCATGTCACCAGCTATTTATTGATGGTTGTGCCGTCCTGGTGGAGTTGAACGTCACTCATTTCTTGTATCATTAGCATCAAAAGACTATACAAATATACAAGTATTTTCACTGTATACAGATATATGTGTCTTTTTATAGTATACAGATATACGTGTGTCTTTTTATGGTCTACAGATATAAGTGTCTTTTTACGGTATATAGATATACATGTGTCTTTGTACTGTATACAGATATACATGTGTCTTTTGTCCACAGACTGTGCTTTCCGATCGCATTAGAATGAGCTTCCTGGAGAGAAATGCCCCAAGTGTCTCCGGATTCCTGGGCATGTTGGCCCTAGCTGGTGCTGGCGCAGGTGCTGGAGTGGCTGCTTACAGTAAACTATAATGCCTGATTATGATTAGGTTACGTTTTGAGAAGAGACAAACAGAGAATCACCAAACAGGCACTGAAATGGAAACTAGAGGAACTGGAGAAATGAGGACGTGCAAGAGGACGTTATCAGGTGAACGTTGATGAGAGAAGCAAAAGGTGTTTGACTGGACTCCATTCATGATGTCAAAGTGATTGCACAAGATAGAACAGAATGGAGAACTAGACTGTGAGCCTATGTGACATATAATGGTACAGTAGGACAATGAATGAATGAATGGTTAGGTTCAACAATTTAGACATGACATTCACATGTAGATAAATAACCAGTCACATATCATTTGTAAATATTTGCTGGTTTGTTATTTCTTGTCATATTTAAACATTTTTTGTCAAATTAAAACATTTCTTGTCATATTTAAACAATGAAGAATATCATATGCAATCGACTGCTGTCATATGTAAAATATTTAGAATGCCATACATTTGCAGTCAGTTCTTGTAATTTTTAAACAATGATCAATGTCATGTGCAGTGAGTTCTTGCCATTAGGAAGTAGGACATAATGTTTGTTTTTTTTGCCGCAGACAAAGCCTGGATTTGTGCGGGCTTGCCTGCAAACCCCTGACATATTTTCTAGAGGATGGGGAGCTCAAGTGGTCTAAGCCTTGTTTAAATGCATAATTGTAACTTTCGAAGAAGGGGGGGGAGGAGGTTTGCCTCAAGGGGTCTGATATCTGAGCCAACAGATTCTGGCACCCACAGGTCATGTACTTGTTTCAAAAACCATTGTTGGTGTTGAGTTCCTATCATTACAAGACGCCCCCATTCTTGGCTTTTGGGTTGACCGAGCCTTATAAAATAGTACTAAATCTATATTTTAAAAAAATGTTAATTTTCCGATGTTGTTATTTAAAAACTCGGAAACTACTGAAACGATTGCTTTCAAAATTGCACACAATGTTGCCTTAGACGCAAAGCGTGATTTTTTTGTCAGAAAATCACACAAACCAGCAACGGTCAAATCATTATTTGTTTCGTTGCCGGCCTGGATTTGATTTTAATTGATTGGCCATATTTGACTGCTGAGCTCTTTTTGAACTTTGCATTAATATATAATTATATTTCCACTCTGTGATTGAGTGTTTGGTAGCGTAGTTGGTAGCTCTTCTGCCTATCATGCGGGTGACCCACGTTCGATTTCCCGCTAGGTGATATATAATTTTTTTTAGCCCTCAACTGGGCGGCTGGCACGTTGTGTTGTGGTTTATGACTAGGCTGCAATATCTACGCCTTTTTCGGTTTTGGGATTTACAGCTAGCCTGCAACAGAGGCGACGTGATGCTCAATGGTCTTGTCACGGGTAATCTTCGTTCGCCCTCGTTGTGTTGTAGTTTACAGCTAGGCTGCGATATCTAACCTAAAACTCTTCAGTCGTCGATAGTATAGTTGTAAGTGTGTCATCCTTCACGCGGGTGACCGGTGTTCGATTCCCCGCTAGGTGATAAATGTTCTATTTCCCTTAAAAGGGTGGTTGCTACGTTTTATTGTGGTTTACAGCTAGGCAGCGATATCTGCGCCTTTCGCACAAAAGGGGGGGGGGGTTATGCCGGACACAGTTAGCTGAGAGAGCTTAAACTATTATTTTAAATAACTATTTCTATTTTAATAATTTCGCCAGGTGATGATTTTTCAATCCAACGGAGAGGGGGATATTATTGGTGGAAAGGGGGTGGGGGATGGGGGGGGGTGGTTTAATGCTGGACACAGTTAGCTGAGAGAGCTTAAAATATTTTTTAAGTTATCATTTCTTAACTATTTCTATTTTAATAATTTCGCTATGGATGATTTTTCAATCCTTTGGAGAGGGAGATATGACTTCGCCAGGTGATGATTTTTCAGTCCTACGGAGAGGGAGATATGATCTATGAAAAAAGGGGGGGGGGATGGTGATTATGCCAGACACAGTTAGCTGAGAGAGGTTAAAATATTATTTTAATGTTCTCATTTCCTAACTATTTCTATTTTAAAAATTTCGCCAGGTGGTGATTTTTCGATCCTTTGGAGAGCGAGATATGACTGGGTCGAGGGGAGAGGAGCGGGGGGGGGGGGGGGAATGACAGACACTGTTAGCTGATAGCTATTTGCTCTCCTCTCCATTTCACCATTCTGGGCCACAGCAACGCGTGGCCGGGTACAACTAGTACAACATGAAATGTGACTAGAAAGCTCAACTGAGGAAATGGACCAGACACAAATATAACGTTTGGGTTTTGACCCTTCTTTGTTAATGGAGTACTAAATACAGCACAAACTGACCAGAAAGCTGAAGAAAACAGAGCTGTTTTTTTTTTTTTTTTTCTTGGCTTCATGTTGACCTTGATTGTTTAGAAGCTTTCTTGTCTTGTATTGAGCACTTCTTGTCATCAGATCTACTTTTTACCTCATAAAATAGGCACCAAATCATTTTATGGGAATTATCTGAGAAGCAAAGTACAACAGGTAATGGCACTGGTAACTTCACCTCATTCAGCATTGAGCTCTTACATTTTAAAATTTGTGTTTAAATATCACTTGCTGCAACTCTGCCGGAAAGTTCTGGTTGTTCCTCCACTTCTAGACTTTAATCTTGTTCCGGAACTTGAGTTTTGCTTGCACATCTATTATACAGATTTAGATTATTTCTACACAAACTGTTGGTTCTTTGCCTCTCAGACAGATGTACTCTGACTTGAAAGAAAACACCTCGAATTAGTGGCCTTTTATGACATGCTTGTTAGGGGGCAGTGAGTCTGTTCTCTCCCCCCCCCCCCCCCCAGAATCCCAGAATGGGGCTCCAGAACACACATGGGGAATGAATGACCAACAGTATGTGAAAGCTCACCACTTCACATTCCAGTGTCTGCCTGGGATTCTTCTTCTTCCTTTCTCTACTCCAGGAATGCCTCACGGCATCAGGGCAGGAAGAGATCTCTAGAACGGGCCCTTCTGTTCGCTTTGTAAAAAGTACTTTTCAGTGACTCTGATATTTCAGCAGTCCATCTTCTGCGTGGTCAACCTATGGCTCTGCTACCGTTATATTTGTATAACACTGCGCTCTGTGGTTCTCAGTCTGATGCCTGGAATTATATACATTATTCGGACATACAATACAGGACTCGTACATTTACAGACCAGTCAGCAGTCTGTAAGAGGTGTGGCCAACATCATACCAAGTATCTTTATTAACCAGGACATTACCTGGTACATATTTTAGGCTGGGTCAATCTGGGAGTCAAGGTCATTTTTGAAAATATACACCACAGTGCAGGTTCAAACCCAGGACTTTGGGCCCACTGGAAAGAAGATACACCTTTGGTAAATTAACAATTACTGATAAATGGT